CCCGGCCCAGCCCGCCTCCCGCCCGCGCGCTGCCGGGGAGCCGCTCTCAGGCCCCCGGAAACTTTCAAAAGGGTCTGGGGGTGGGGGGAGCCTTCTGGAGACCGGGAGGCTGGGGCCGCGCAACTTCTGCTCAAGTGACTTTACCCGGGTCCCCCCGCCCCGCACTCCGGCTCCCCGGCTGCGTTCTCCCCCGGCGGCTCGCAGCGGGATTCCGGCCCCTCGGCCGCGGGCAGACAGGGTAATTTGTAACCTTTTTTTTTTTTTTAAATCAAAGTTAGCCGATGCTTTCAGTGTGGCAAACTTGCGGGCGTTCAGGGCCGCCGAGACCTGCCATTTTGTGTTTTCACTGGCCTCCAGTGCCGGGGAGCCGGGCGAGGCCGAGGTCGGGGTTCGGCTGGGCCCGGGCGTCAGGGTCCGAACCCGTGACCTCTGCACAGGCCAGGGCGCCCGCCAGGGTAGGCGGCGCCCGCAGCACCTGCCTCAATCCAGCGCAGGCCCTGGGGTCAAGCCGAGGGGGCCAAAGATAAAAATAAAGAAATAAATAAGTAACAGGTTATGGAGGGAACTGAGCCGGGCAGCCTTGGGCTGCAGAAATGAGGCCAATCAGAGCGAAGGCGAGCAGGCGTGAGGGCGGGGGTCTGGAGGGTTGGGGGCCTCGGGCAGGGTGCAACTTGGTGAAACGTTTGCCTCCCTCGCCCAGATGTATTACTGGTGTGTGGGGGGGGGGGAGAAGGGGGAGAATCTTTTCTGATGAACCTTTCTGTTTGCTTCAAGACATTATTTTTTGAAGATGAAGAATTGAGGAAAACAGTCGTAGGCGGGACCGGGATGTATTTTGGGCAAAAAAAAAAAAAAGGGGGGGGGGAGCTTTTCTTTGATGATGAGTAGGAAAGTGTTCAGATCTCGACGCGCCCATCTGTTGCAGTTTTGCAAATAATTTAAAATATAGATATCTCTCTATAGATGGATGGATGTGAAATGGAAGGTGAAAACGCAGTTACCGGGAAGTTAAAAAAAGAAGAAAAAGGGGTTTCAGGGCGGAGGGAGCCCTGTCACCACCGCCTCCCCTCCGAACTCTTCCGAGCAACTCCAGCAGGGGTTTCTTAGGGGACAGGTGGAAAGTTGTCTCCCCTCCTCCCTTTCTCCACTTCTGTATTGTGAGCGTGCCCACCCGCCGCCTCTGGGCGACCGCACACGGCACCTCGGAGTTGGGCAGAGGGTCGGCGCGGCCCTCTGGGGGTAGGGGTGGGGGGGCGGGGACGGCGGGGCAGCGGCCTGCGGCTGGGGGGCCTGGACGGCAGGGCGGGGTCGCAGCCCCGCGCGCCGGTCGCCGCCGTGACTGGGTTTTGTTTGCTGGATATTGTTATGTCTAACGAGCGCCTCACAGGAGACGTGATTTGTCAGGCGCCTTCGTTTTCACTTTAGCAGAAAACACAGTGGCTGCGCCGCGCGCTGGCCTGCAGGCTGGGCGCGGCGTGGCTCCGGGCGCTGG